GATCTACCAGTCGATCGCGATCGACGGGTTGGCGACCACTGGAGTAGAGCATCAAAACAAAACGAAGCGGTTTAAACGTTTTATTGAGGGCATTCATTGATCGGACGTCTTAGTGTTTCGCGTTTGCATTACTATTGATTATACGCTCAAAGCCTACAGAAATTCATTACGTGGTTTATTTTTCATTTTAAATGTGTTCAAATAGGACTTTTCGCCATTTAATGTGGTGGCATGGCACGGAAACTACACACCCTACAAATACAACCTGGAGAACTTCATGGTCATCAACTGTGTGGCGTTTGATCACCCTGTAAGTAATTTGCTTCATTTGACGTCTTAAAATCACTGCATTTGCGCCGTTAATCAAATTACCTGAATCTTTATTTCCAGGATCCGTCGATTTTCACCGTTTTGACAGCAAAATCCACCCGTCCAGGTGTGGCCATTGCAGATTTTGTCATCTTTCCCCCTCGCTGGGGTGTAGCTAATCACACCTTTCGGCCTCCTTACTACCACAGTAAGTCTGTGTTGATGATACATACTTGTATTGAAACCAAGTGAAATTTCACGCGGTTAAAGAACGCCCTCTATCTATGCTAAAAGGGAACTGCATGAGCGAGTTTATGGGATTAATCAAAGGCCACTATGAAGCAAAGGAAGAAGGTTTCCAGCCTGGAGGAGCCAGTCTCCACAGCATCATGACTCCACATGGTCCTGACGTCGACTGTTTCGAGAAGAACAGCACAGCTGTTCTCAAACCAGAGAGAGTTGCTGAGGGCACTATGGTAATGTTTCATTTTGAAATACATCATGTAAAGGGCTAGATGACGTTCCAAATAATGCTGTATCCAACAGGCATTCATGTTTGAGTCATCCTTCAGCATGGCTGTGACCAAGTGGGGATTGGACACCTGCCACCGTCTCGATAAGAGCTACTATAAATGCTGGGAGGCTTTAAAAAGTCACTTCAATCCAAACTGGAAACCCAGCAGCAAGTAGAACATGAAGTACATGGTTACACCTCAACAGTCGTCATAATATTTGTCTGACGTGGATCTGTGATTCACAATGGTTTTCTCTTTAGAATGGAGTTAACCAGAGATATTCTATGATATAAAAACAAAACATGCTATTATATAACCAATAAAACAAAACGCAGGGTTTCTGCAGGTTTTATAAAGAAAAATTTAAGACAATTTTAAAGGCCTTTTTAAGACAAAGAAAATATAAGTTATAAATTGAAGGGAACACAGTACATAAAAATGTAAATGTCTAGGGAGCACACCATGAGTTGTATTAGCAACACTTTTACACTTATTTTCAAAGTTTGAAAATACAAAATTCAAGAGGTCTCATTACTTTTTAATCCATTTACCAAAAAAAAGCATGTTTGCAGCTTTAATAGCTCTGCTCCCAACCACTAGTATATGAAAATAATTTTTACTGTACTGTGCAAAAAAGTAATGCTCTTCCTTAGTACGTTTGTCTTGTTTTTTAGTGCAGATGTCTAAAGATTCTTAAAAATCACACAAGTCTTGTTTTCTGCAAAGCTGATCAAAAGGTTTATGATTAAAACAAGAATAAATATGTCAATGGTCTAAGAAAACTGAAAGGGAAAACAAGTTTATATACCCCATAAGATCACATAATTTTAATAATTCCTTCAGAAAACAAGACTTCTTATTCATTTTGCATCTTGAGTTACATCTCATGTATCTTGATTTAAAGGGGGGGTACAATGCTGTTTCATGCATTGAGTTGTTTACACTGTTAAAGAGTTGGATTCTCATGCGAAGCAGTTTGGACGTATGACAGAGTATTTTTGTGCCAAAAATCTTCCGGGTTCATTCAAGTTTCAGTTGTTTTTCCAGAGCAGCAACGGAGTTTCACAAGTGTGTTTGTTGAAGAACGTTTTATAAACAAGGCCCAGTTCAATGCTGGAGCTCGACTTTTTCCGGAGAATCGTAAAGCTGTATCTTTCTTTTATAAATATGATCAAACTAAAGACTTTTTTGGAGATATGAAGGATGCAGTACGACTCTATAGGTACTCAAGATTAACATGAGATTGGGTGAAACTGTGTGTGTTATGCCCCCTTTAAGGATGTTTAGATATTTGTATTGGAAAACAAGAAAGCGATACTGAGGAAGACATGCATGCAACATTTAATGCCAAGACTTTATGAATTTTAAGACGTTCCGCTCTGACCTTTTTAAGGCCTTAATTTGTGGAAGAGGCTAATTAATACTTTAAGACCCGCAGAAACCCTGTAAATGAAATGACAAAAATACTGTGCGATTTCTTATTTTTCTTCAATAACAGCGATAAAGGAAGTTTCAACAAAGTATTTTATTTAGTATATAATTACAAGTACTATGTGTTACAATATATAGTGAATTCCAAAGAAATTAGGTTGATAGTTTATAGGGGCGCTCGTAGGTCCCTGCCTTAATCTTGGCCTCCCTTTTGTCCTGGAAAAATGGGAAAAACAGGGTTAAAACTGATATAACCACTGCAACTTTGACGACATCAATACTGAATATGAAGTGAATTCATACAGTTTCAACTCACCCTGTCTGTTTTAAACACAACATACAAGATGAAAAGGGGTAGAACTCCAAACAAGCCACCAATCAATGAAGTTTTAGCAGTTGGTCTGAAGTAGTTGTTATTGGTGCGCGCATATGTCCACCGTGTAAGAGCAGGATCCTCCTACGAATAAAACACATGGAGGTTGATGACTTGATCAAACTGTTTAAATGTATCAGGGTACCTTCTGGAAGTTTCAATAATTCAGTTGTCAGGATTGTAAACAATAATGGGGCAAACAACACGCCCCGGAAAATGCATTCTGAATAAGAACGTAGTCTGATTGAAATTTCACAAATTACATCTTTTTACATAAAGACTATAAACACATGTGGACCAAAACAAGCTGGCAGGCAATAACTGCTAGCCAGCGATCAGTGAAGGTCACTCACTGCGGATTCAATATAAAACACTCTAGGCTTCTGAAACATGAATGTGGACTAAATCATTCAAACATTATAAAATTATAAACTAGCACAATATGAAAATAAAAGCTATATATAGCTTCATTGTAACTGTTTTACCCCAAGCTAATGTTTGCAGATTGTGATATTCGGTTCGTCTTACAATCAGCTCTTTCCGATGAGGATTGTTCAGCTGCTCCAGATACTGCCGCTTCAGCTGTGCCCGCAGAGACGCTCTCTTCTCCTCAGCCCGCCGGTAATCATGTGAAAGATTGAAGTATTCGGCTGGATCTAATGTTTTTGGCCGAGTAGCCAAAGGAGCCTCTTTGTAGTTCGCCATGATTGCAAACAGCGCAAAACACGCCAAAGGAGAAATCTGATTGGCTGCGCGTCATCTTCGCAAGTCTCGCGGTAATTAAAAATACTGTCTCGCCAATTAAAGGCAGAGTAAGTGATTTTTCAAAAACACTTTAGAAAACTGATTCGGGCCGAATCGCGAAACAAACTTGTAGCCAATCAGCAATAAGGGGCGTGTCTACTCGTGATGTGGAGGAGAGCGCGTTCACTGCATGGAACGACATTAGCCGAGCCGAGCGACAGAAAGATAGAGATGGCGGATAAATATCGGATCAGCTTTCCAGCGCTGGAGAGAACTCAAGGAGCGGAGGCCTGCGATCGGACGCCGAGGTTGCTTTGTTTCTTCTCAATAGGTGAGTAACACCGTGTCTACAACAGCTAAAGTCTGCCTACACTGGACGCGATCAAACGACCGTTGAAAACCATTTGAAATGTGTGTCAGCACGTCATAAATAGAACCCGGCAGCAGTTTTCTGTCGGGATTTGTTGCGCCGCGCCGCTCACGTCCGTAGACACGGTGTAATATTGGTTTTGCTTTGTTTCACAGAACTAATCATTGCCTGGGTTGCGTACGTATATGTGGGGCGGAGCTATCAAAATAGGGGCAAGACCCTTTTGGGGTAGGGGCGTGTTTGTTTTGGTGATTTCAAATATCAACATTGGCTACCAGAAATCACTTACTCTGCCTTTAAGGGTTACTGGGTTATCCGATTTCTATGACAGCGCATCTAACATCATGTAAAGTGGTGTTTATTTTAGTATCATTGATATACTATTGTAGTTTTTGTTAATATTTGGAATTGAATTTGAATAAATAGGTTTAAATTTTAGCTAATGTTAAAGTAATTTAATTGTGTTTTTAGTAATTTTATTAGTTTTTAAATATACAGGCTATAGCTACAGGCTATATAAAAGGCTATAGAGTAATAGTTTTTAAAATATATTTTAGTTATTGTAGTAGCCTACGTCAACTTTAAAAATAAATGTATAAAATAATGTTTTATACACACTCACTTTTATTTGACCACACAAAACCAGTCGAAACACAAGACTTTATTTATTCAAATTAATAAAACAAATCATATTGTGCAAAATATTACTAGAGCTGCATGTTACATTCCAGCCCCAGATGTGATCCAGATGTTGACTCACCACTGGACTGGACCACTGGAGCCTGACTGATCTGAGGCATCTCACAAATATCACGCACAGAGACACAGGCAAAGTCCTTTTGGTCACTTTCCGACAGTTTATCTATAGCGAGAAAAGTAGAAGTGTGGATACCCATTTTGACCAGTAGAGGGAGCTACAATGCAACAAAAGTGTTATTTCATACATAAAGCTAAATTAGGGAACAGCCATGAGTCTTACCGTTGTTAACTATGCAGCATTTGCTGGTACCCAAATTCCTCCATTCATTGATATACCTGAGAGACAAGCAAATATTCTTATTTCTAAATGGGATATTTTATGATTACCATAATGATGAAAAAATGATGATGCCATGTAGCCTACAGTAGGCTATATCACATCTAATGTCATATTAGCTCAATTACTCATCAAAATTGAGAGCTTTGGTCCATGCCAGCAGTGCATCCACTTCCTGCTCAGAAACGGAATCTGGTCCAATCTATTCAAGGGAATCCATCATTCTCTGTGTGGATTTTTGCACCAGCAGAGCTGTTTCGCTGTGTTCAGTACGACTATGCAGGAGACCCTCAGCATACCTGTGCACAAGATCTGTGCTTACAATTATGCTGTCATTCACATCTTATATTCCATGTTTTAGTATGATTAGCTCTGCAGAACATATCTTACCACCTACCACAAACAATCAAACAGTTAGCCTACTTTAAATACATGTTTTAAATATGTTACATTTTTCTCATCCATTCAATTTTACGAATCTTCTTTTTTCTTGCAACATCTTGTCGACGTCGGATTTTGCAGTGATGGAATTCTATCTTCCTAATATTGGTATCTTGAGTTATTGGGTCTTCAAACACGAATATCTTTAATCATAAAGGCAATGATAGACTAGGGTGACCATACGTGCCATTTTCCCAGGACGCGTCCTGTCCAGGATTTCTATATTGCCTAAAATATCTAGGGTTCGGCTTTGTTTGCGTGTGCAGACCGATCGGTGTATGACATCGGTTCCTTGTGTTTTCGAAACGCTGTCGAGGTACTTTGAATCAAAGCAATATAGAAATCCTGGCCAGGACGCGTCCGGTGAAAATGGCACGTGGTCTATGCTATTATGATATTACCCTATGATAGACACATAATGTTTAGTCATGCAACATTTGTATATTTTTCTGACTGTTACCATTTATATTGTAAATGAAACAGTAGAAGGTAAAAAGTGTATATTTTAAAATGTAATTTATGGAGAGTGGAGTAATGGCTGCTGAATGTTTGGTTGGATATGTTTCATTTATTGAGTTATACAAAAGGTAAAATGAAAATGAAAGTATGATGACTGGATATGTCACCTTGCAAGACAAAATCCTCCAGTTCTCCACCCGTTGGTACCACCCAGAGTGATCATTCCCATCATTGATCATCATTCGGCCATTATGAATCTGGCTTGGAGCAGGTTTCTTTAGCTGCGTGTAATCTTTAGGACTGGAGGCGCACATGTCCACTATGGGTGCACGAGTGTATATTTTAAAGTAGATGTTTGGAGGATATGTTGGCTGGAATTTTATAAACGTTAGTAAGTAATTTGCAATTTGTGTGTTTACTTATAATTAGCTTTCCAATAACGTAACCTAGAGCAGAACACAATAACAGCATGTTATGGAGTACAAATAACTGTCTGCTCATTGAAAGATGAATGACATCAGCACTCACCCCACCCAGTCTGAATCGGATAAGCGCCCCTGAAGCAGAATCCAAAATATTAGCCTACAACAAAGAATTAAGGCCTACGATTTAAAAAAAAATAAAAAAAAATTAAAAAAAAAGGAAGAGGAAAAACATCTCAATTAAGCTTCACATATGCATTGTAACAAACTTACCTCTGCAGGATTAATAAATCTAAGAAGGAGACGTGGATCCCCTTGATTATGGAAGCTCACTAGTTTCTTGAGGTGCTTGAAGACAGCAGTATCCTACACATGACAGGCACAGTATGCACTACTTTTTATTTGTGCATTCAGTCATATGTAACAAAGCCGGAGAAAAAGTAACATGAATGTTGACTGTGATCACTAACAACATGTGCCCTTCATGCTCGCTGGATGATCCTGGCTGCTCTGCTGAAAACAGTTTCCAGCTGTGCTACAAGTATGACATTAGACTCTGATGTAGTTTCCCCAGCTGGAGCTGTTGGATGATGGCTAAAGGGGGGAAAATGATTGACAGTTTTTTTTCTATTGCTTCACTCGTTTAGTAACGAGTCTGCATGTTTTGCTGTATTTCATACCTGTCAAAAGAGTATGTGTGTTAAATTTTCTTGTTCATGCTAGCACATGCTGCTTATAGGATGAAGAGAGAGAGAGAGAGAGAGCGAGAGTTTATTCTGTAAAACATTAACATGGATTTACATTTCAATTAGCCGAAAAGGAACAATTCTGGGGGGGTATATTATAAATTATATTATACGGTTATAATTTATAACAGTATACTGTTTAACTGAGGCTGAAGCTCTGCACCCTGATTAAGCTTTTGCCATGGCTAGGTATGGGAAATGGGATTATTTAACTAGGATTATGACTATTTTATTGGATTATTAGGCTACATTTAACTCCACCATATACTCAATTCAAAATTAAGACAGGTGTTTTTAATAAACCACTTCTGTTGAGACCACAAAATGCTACTTACTTGATCAGTCGAGTCCTCTTCATTCTCAAGAAACAGAATAGCCAATATTCTTAAAAATACCTGAATTAAAATGTTTAATAGGTAGAAGGAGCTTAAATAGGCAATGCGTTTTATCCTTATAATATTCAAATCAAACCAATCCGGTGAATATCGAAAAGTAAACAAAAGCGTGAACTGTATTTTCACAATGACATCGACAAGTTGAAGTAAAAAACGTAGAGGGGGCTAAAACTGCAACCAAAGAGTAAACAACATTGAGGGAGTTTAAAAACGAGAACATAAAGCCTAGACAGTATGACATTATGGAGACGGGTGCAAATGCACGCCTTACAACCACAACAGCCGTTACCAGAGCAACGTGAAAACAGACTCATCCAACTCAATGCTAGAAAGCTAGAAATATACGTGATCCAAAAGCTTTTTTTTTTAAATGGAGAACTACGTGTGGAGTAGGAGATTCGTTTAACAAAAATATTCGTTCAGTGGTCCTTTCAGCAGGTTACATCGTTACGAAAGTAAAAAAAAGTGAAGGATTATTGTGACAATGAATAACTCACTAACTTAATTCGTAAAAAAAATAATACTCAAAATACTCAAGAAGGCCAAAGAAGGCAGTCATGTTTTTTTTTAAGAGAACAGGCCTACTGCTTCCGCAAACCTGCCAACCATTACTGAAACATAGATCGTACAAGAGGGCCAAATTAGTTGCATCATTCATAGTCATAACTGTTCATTGTGGCAGGTTGTGACATGACACGCAACAGTGTCGGCCTGTTTTAATGAGCTGTAATTAAGGAATTTCTGTTATTAGAATTAAAGAGTTTACTAGACCACAGAGTGTACTTGCTAATTAAAGTTTAGCATAGCAGTTTAACTTGAGTCATGTGCAAAGTTAGTCATTTACAGATAATTTATTACATTTTTTTTTTTACAAGTGATCAATATTCTTCTACTTATGCCTTAAGAAAAATATAGTGTAGTCAATATATTAAATGTTAATAAATATAACCGATTTAATGAAGACATTCAAGAATTCCCTTACAAAAAGGTCCTTACATACGTAGGCCTATGTTATACAGCATTTAGTAGTACTGTGTTGTTGTCAGTGCTGCAATTGAGCATCTTAACATCTTATGGAGGTCCTATAGGCTCTAGGGGAGAAATGATGCCCCAACCCCTGCTCTGCATAAAAAAAATTATAATAAAAGATCAATTAAAATTACACTGAAAGCCACACACAAACATGACGCACACAAACAGCACAATTAAATTATACAGCAAATAAAATGAACTGTGAGGTCTTATTTAAGAATGCTTAGTTCATCTAGTGGTATGTCTTTTGCATAGATTGTGAGAGGCCGTGTTTGAACCTCAAATTAACAAGTAGCAGATGTCGCATATGCCAGGATCAGCCAGTTTTCAATAACACTTTCATACTTTTAACAATAATATCAAATGGATAGCAGACTTCTGTAACATCATCTTCTTTACAGACTTAAAACCATAATTAATGTGGAATCATCAGTGTTACAGGGGCACCGATATTCAATTTTTCTATTTTTTTTTCTGACTGTTAAAGGAGCAGTATGAGTTGAAAAAATTCAAACACCTCTGTTAAACAGTTGGGGTTCAGTTTCTTAGTTTACAGCTACTGACTATAGAATGTCTGTCAGGAAAATAATGTATTGTAACTGACATGCTGTGCTTTCAAATGCCACAGTGAATGAAACAGTCAATAACCTACAGGAAGCAGGTCTCAATAAAAGGAATGATGTGAGAATTCACCATTTCAAAGCCTTAAGATCCAGAAAATATACTTAAAAAACCTAATGAAACAGTGCATTGTACTGTATTGTATATGAATTCATAATGAAATAAAAAATTGTTATCCTCAAACACTAAAGTATTCAAAAAGCCCATTATATTTAATTTATAACAAAAAATATTAAATCAACATGGTCTTATAGTTCTGATATATTATAATTCCTTCTATTCATATCCAATCTGGATTTCTAGTTGTTATTACAATTTAGATTGTTTCTAATTTCGTAGAAGACCCTAAGCGTATATGTAACCACATATTCAATATGATGGAATTGAACAACACATAATTACCTCCTCTAAAGTTCTGTTTCTACAGCATCATCACAATTGTCAAGATAGTATTCATCATCGGTTGTGGTGTCAGAATCAGACTCCTCAAAAACAGTCAAGCTGGTTGTGTAGCTCCTTGATGACAGGATTCCACGAGTAGGAGACAGATTTTCTGGAGTTGTCCACATGGGGGAAGACACAGAAGGTGCCTGGGATATCCGACGAGGTGAAGAGGACATAGTTGGTGATGGAGGTGGGGTTGGGTCTGCATCATAATGATCAAGATCAAGATCATCTGTATATACAGGTTCAGACTGTTTACCAGTGATAGATTTGGCATCACAGATTGGAGAATGGCTACTACTCATTGGAGAGTCAACTACTGTATAATCCCCCTTCGGCACAAAGTCATCCAAACTTGAGAGGTCGCTGATGCTGCTTGTTGAGATTCGTCCAGGACCTGATGGGCGGCTTGAAACCACACTGTTTACTGAGAAAGATCGTCCATTGTGTAGACCATACTTTAAATCAGCACATGACGAGGACAAGTGAGACCTCACAAGGTTTTGCTGCACGGGACTCTTGGAGTTCAGAGAAGAGAAGTAATCAGACTCACACAGTGAATTTGTTTTTTTGCTCACTGGACTATAAAACACATTGTCATCCTGAATTTCTTCTGAATCAAAATCAAACAAATAAAAGGGTGATGGGGGACCGACAGAGGATTTTCTGTAATGTGGCAAGGTGGCAGAACGATTCATACTTTGGGCCTTTAGCCTATGTGGACTAAAGCTCCTACCATAAGAGTGGTTTCCATTTTCATCGCTATGCCTCTTTTGCTGATCAACATTTAATTTATTCTCAGATGATTTCTTTAATGTTAACGGTGACAAGGGCTCAAAAGAAGCAAAAGGTGCTTTATCAGTGGTCAATGATGAGTTGGGGGCCTCCCATGTGCACCCAGTACCCTTTTGTTCAGTTGTAGATCTGTTTTGCCAGTCCATATTTAAAGAATTCTCAGATTTCTTTAATGTAAGTGGCGACAAAGACCCAAAAGAGGCAAAAGATGCTTTATCGGTGGTAAAAGATGAGTTGGGGGCTTCCCACGTGCACCCAGAACCTTTTTGTTCAGTTGTAGATCTGTTTTGCCAATTCATATTTAGAGTATTCCCAGATTTCTTTAATGTAAGTGGCGACAAAGATGCAAAAGAGGCTTTATCAGTGGTCAAAGATGAGCTGGAGGCCTCCCATGTGCACTCAGAACCCTTTTGTTCAGTTGTAGATCTATTTTGCCAATCCATATTTAAGGTTTTCTCAGATATCTTTAATGTACGTGGCAACAAGGACCCAAAAGAGGCAAAAGATGATTTATTGGTGGTCAAGAATGAGTTGGGGGCCTCCCGTGTGCACCCAGAATAATTTATTTCAGCCGTAGACTTATTTTGTTCATCCATATTTAATGTATTCTCAGATTTTTTGAATGTTAGTAGTGACAAGGAATTTAAAGAGGTTTTATCAGTTGTTAAAGAGTAGTTAGAATTCTCCGGGTGGCTCTCAGAACTTGCTTTCTCTTCTGTCTTGGGACTTTCAAAAGTCTCAGTATCTGAGGGTTGCTGAGTGGGACTCTTGTTCTTTTTCGGTAGTGCGTCAAGTGAGCTGTCTGAACGTTTGACACCAAATGTCAGTTTCCAGCGATTTAACATCTGGTCAATCCTGCTGCTCGTTTTAAACACTGGCGAATGTCTTTTGGTTTTTAAATACTGGGGACTAACAACCTCTTTGTCTGGCAATGAAGCTGAAGAAAAGACATCTTCTTTGTCTTTCTTAACTCGTGAACTAAAGAGGCCTTTTTTTGAATTGGAACTTTGCATTTCCTGTAATCTCTCATGCATATGCACAGCGGGAATCTCTTTCTCAGCTGTCAGTGGAGTCTCATTTTCTACTGTGAGCTTATCAGGTATTAAATACTTATCTTTCTTACTCAGCCTGTGCTTGGGGTAAGCATTACCCTTATCAAGCTGAAGTTCCATCAAGCCATCATGCTCCTGATGGCAGAAGTTGTTAGAGCCTGTGTCTGGCTGCCTTGGGTGTGGGCTTATATTTGCGCTTTGGCTTTCCATGACAAAACTTGTATCTGGTGCAGCTTGTAAGAGGCATGGCTGGGCAGGTTTGTGATTATCTAGGGCGCTTGTATAATCTTGAACTGCTGTCCTCTGTTTTCTGTTAGGAGAAGCTAACTGTTCCTTTGGTCTTCTTATTATGCCTGTGTATGTAGACAGTGAAGAGCTTGGATCACCTTTTATGAAGTCTGCAGGAGTGGTTACAATATCATAAGATGTAGATCGGGTATGAGTTTTGGACACAGGTGGAGAGGATAGTTCTTGTAAAGTGTTGCTGAGTGTAGGTCGTGAGGAGATGAGGCTAGAATATGGAGAAGTGCTGAGACGAGGTGCTGATCTTCGTCCAAAATCAGGAGGCAGAGATTGAGCTGGTACTATATGGGAGCTGGAGCTATACGAGTTTCTTTGTAATGCTTGTACCTGTGGCACAAATGGGTTGAAGTCAAATGAAAATCTTGAAGGTAATGTTTTCCGGTCACCCTGCAGTGTTACACCTCCATCTTGCTTAGGAGGCGATGTTTCACCTCTCTGTATGTGGGAAGAAGGGGTGGAAGGGGAAGGGGTGGACACAGCTGGGCTGGACTCCCGTAGGTATGAATAAATGCTTGGTACTCTTACACTTCTGAGAGGTCTGCTTGGAGAAAGAGGGCTCGAAAGATCCATAGTGCTTTGACTTGACTGAGAATATTTCTTAGAGTCCAGATATATCTGCCCAACATTTGTGGGACTTGTATCATCTACAGAAGAGTCTTTCCTGGGTGAGTAGTTAAGCCTGTCTGTGAAGGTGCTTGTACCTGAAGAACTACTGGCTATTATATTGTGTGTACTTTGTGATTTTAATTTTTGAACATTAAAGCCACATTGTTGAACATTCTTTGCTAAGACTTTGGGAGAAATTGTGGTATCTGGAATTACTTTTTGTCTGGTCATATTGGAGTTTTGCAGGTTGGTGTTGTTGGCAGCATTTTGTTCCGCTGGATCTATGTCCTCTGTACTGGAATATTTCCTCAAAAACACTGAATAAGAACTCTGTTGAGCTCTGAGAATTCCAAGTTGGCCGGTTTTGGTTGTGGAGATTGGGAAACGTTCCTCCTCTACTCTGGCAACAGAAGCTTCTAGTCTCTTTGAAATTTCTGTCTCTGGTTTGTTTAGAAACAGAGATTTTCTTAATGGCACTCTACTCTTAATTCTATGTGAGAAAGGGAACTGACTGACTGCTATTTCCTCTGTTCTTGCAGGAGTGTCTGGATATTCGGGGGTTTGGTCATCAGTGGTAACAGAATGGGCAAATGATGGAGTTTTCAAAACAACTCTGCTAGGCAATGTAAGGGACCTGACAGACCTAGTCATCTGAGTCTGTGATTGTGTGAGCTCAGCACTGGAGCTTCTCAAATTTGACCTCCTCAAGGAAAGAAGTAGACTGCTTGTTGTTGGCTTAGAGCTCAATGATTTGAAAGGCTCATGTTCATCTCCAGTTTTTGATATTCTGTACTCTGAATGGGCCAAATTTGGTACCTGACGAGTGTCCAGAGGTGTGGGAAAAGAATGCAAATCTGTATTATTGTACATCATACCCACAGAGGAGGATTTAATAATGGGTCTCTTTGGCTGTATTGTGGTTGTGATGTTCGGGGAATTGTTCTCTTTTTGCCAGTCAGGAGAGTTATAGCTGGTTCCTGCAGTCAACTGCATGTCATTGTCATTGGCCAACATGTGTTCAGATGGTCGCCTCTGGGAAGGAAGAAACGGTTGTTGCTGCCGATCCTGGCAAAATAAGGTAGATGGGTTGGCATTCTGTCCACAATCTTGGGGCTCATGCTGTACTTCGCTGCCGCCTTGCTTGGGTCTTCGAAGACGGCCACTCCAAGGTAGAGGAAGAACTGAGGCCAGGGCCGATGTCAACATAGCTGATGTAGGATTGATAAGACCAGGTTCTGGCTCAGGGGTACTATCAGAATGAGGAGCAGGAAAAGAGTCTAATGGCAAGACCGGATTTACTACTTCTGAATGGTGTGCAAAAAACTGGGAATCAGTGCTTGCTTTTAGACCATTGTCCACTTCAAAGGAGGTCAGATTACTGTGGTACTGTGGAGTTGTTGCAGCATTCTTTCTACAGTCGTTGGCTCCAGATTCCTTTTTGAATTCTGTTTGAACCTCACAAACAGGTTGAGTACAATGTCTTTGTGAGCCGTTGTGGACAATTTGCATTTGTTCATGAAGGCCTATGTTGTGTTGTATTCCTGTATTTTGTCCCTGCTTTGGTGTGTTATGTCCATGTTGATGCAGAGTGGTAAAACTGTCTTCATCAAAGCTTGCTTTTGGCCCATCTCTATTCTTAAATAATTCACCAGTTGATTTGCCACATTGCTCCGTTGGTGAAAGCACGTCCCTTAGCTGTCAGAACAAGCAACAAAGCTTTGGATTAGTGCCAAAAATAGTACAAAACACAGGCACTAATTCAAGCACAGTAGCATTTGTACATTTTAGACTAGTAAATTTCAGAGTTGCTTGGGAAAATTACAAGAAATGCTTCTCACGTGTATTTGAACTATTTGAACAAATCACCACTCCCATTCCATAACTGTTTAAACAGACAGTTCAACTTCACAGTTGAGCTTTACATTGCACTGAAAAATACTCTGCATATCAAAACTGCAAACATGGCCCAGTAGAGCGGAATGTATTCAAAGGGCAGTAAAATAAAGATATTTCATTATATTTAAACAAGATACGTTTGATTAGTAAGACATAGATTTTATCTTTACATCAGACGTTCTCTTAATAAAAAGATAAACAATCTCATTCTCATGACTGTCTTAGATTGAATGCTTACCTCTGTGTGGTTTTGATTAGCTGTGTTTTTTACGGCTTCATGTGTGCTGTAACTGTCAAATTGAGAAAATAATTTTTAATTAGCATATGATTTTTTTTAATGAGCAAACATTTAACAAGTATGTAGATAAAAAAAAATAAGTTCCCTCAGGTAAACAAAGAAAACTATGATGAAAACAAATCTCTCATCTAATTCAATGTTTCACACGCTATTCTTACTCCCTAAATACTTTTACTAGTTCAACATCTTTCATATATTTAGCAAGACAACGCAGGAAAACAAGACCAACAACATTCCATTCTTTCTCTCAGTTTAAGCATTCTAGGGGTAAACAATTCATTGGCCTGACATGAAGGGAGGGGTCCATTGTTAAAACTCTTTTAAAATGAGTACAGGGTGTTTATCAGGACATTTTTATTCTGGAAGTGAACTAATCCTTAAATGTCTGCTTTAAAAAACGAGAGGCAGTGATGTCATACCTTTTAAACAAGATACTGTAATACTGCACAATAAATGTCTATTTACTGTTTCCAAGATCAAGATGTAAACACTTTATAAAGGTGTGAACAGTATATGAAAGCATGAACACACCTAGATACGGTACAGCCAAACAGCAAATCTTTGCCTATACACTTTCACACTATCATTCACCATCATTAAATCATGACTTATTGCTATATAAGGACTATTACTGCCAGTCATGGGTCGAAAGGGCGTTTGCTGTTCTGGCTAGGACTGTGCAAATGACACAAAACACAAAGTGCTATAGCATAATTTACAAGACAAAAGATATTATTATGTGCAGTGTATATTAAGTGGAATCAAATTTTCATAAAACATTTACTAATAGGTAGGAACACTAAAGCCCCGTTCACACCAAGAACGATAACTATAAAGATGTAGGGAGTTAAATTCAAGGTTAACATTAATGTTCTATAACTTTAAATAAGATCTAGAGGTAATATCGCGAGAACATAGACCCGCGATTAGGATCGCGGGAGAGAATGATCTAGACAGTTGTGAGAGCGTAGAGGGAGAGATGACACGCTCTGTGTAATCGGATGTGGCTGATTCATGATGTTTACCTCTTCATGTTTAATAAATCAAGTGTTATGATCTGCCGAGCTCCCTGTCGGTGTCCTCCTTGGATCAAAGCCAAGAACCCACGAGCCAGAGCGTGGTAAGAACTGTGACGCTCATATATAGGAACAACACGCGTTACACTGGTGGCAGCGCTGGTTGGCTTGTTTTTGTTGGGACACTTGTGCTTTTATTGTATTGAATGAGGTGGATATCGCCACTTTAACCTGCAGAGACGTTGATATTGTTTTTCACGTGCTCTTTTTGCTAGTTCAGATTACGTGCGTTCTCTCTCACACAAAATGGCGGACGACGAGTATGAAGCAGCTGCAGTTCAGAGAGACAGACATGTTGCAGATGTAGCAAACCCACATCTGCCATTTAAAATTGACCTTCCACATCCTTTTTCTGGAGATGGTACAGAGCCTTTTAGTGCATGGATACAGAGGTAGGGAGTTAAATTCAAGGTTAACATTAATGTTCTATAACTTTAAATAAGATCTAGAGGTAATATCGCGAGAACAGAGACCCGCGATTAGGATCGCGGGAGAGAATGATCTAGACAGTTGTGAGAGCGTAGAGGGAGAGATGACACGCTCTGTGTAATCGGATGTGGCTGATTCATGATGTTTACCTCTTCGTGTTTAATAAATCAAGTGTTATGATATGCCGAGCTCACTGTTGGTGTCCTCCTTGGATCAAAGCCAAGAACCCACGAGCCAGAGTGTGGTAAGAACTGTGACGCTCATATATAGGAACAACACGCGTTACACTGGTGGCAGCGCTGGTTGGCTTGTTTTTGTTGGGACACTTGTTTTTTTATTGTATTGAAGGAGGTGGATATCGCCACTTTAACCTGCAGAGACTTTACATTTCCAAACATTTCTTTAGCCATTAATCGGAATAATGCAATTAATTGGAGATTTTTGTAGGCACAAGGAGTCTGACAACAGCCAGTGCTCCACACAGAGATCTGATCTCACCATCATGCAGTCCGTCTGGAATGACATGAAGAAACAGAAAAAAACTGAGACAGACTAAATCCAGAAGAACTGTGGCAACGTCTCCAAGACACTTCAAGAAACCTACCTGCAAAGCTACCTGAAAACTATGTGCAAGGACAAAAGCTGTTTTAAACAATAAGGGTACTCAAACCAAATGTTGATTTGATTTAGTTAATTAAAGTTAATTGATAAATAAAATCTATTTATGACATTATTTTTGAAAGCATCCTCACTTTACAGTATTTTTACACAAGTGCCTAAAACTTTTCACATTACTGTAGCTTTGCAGGTAGGTTTCTTGAAGCATCTTGGAGACGTTGCCACAGTTCTTCTGGATTTAGTCTGTCTCAGTTTTTTCTGTTTCTTTATGTCATTCCAGACGGACTGGATGATGGTGAGATCAGATCTGTGTGGAGCACTGGCTGTTGTCAGACTCCTTGTGCCTACAAAAATCTCACTACAATTAATGGCAAAAGGAATGCTTGGAAATGTAAACTGATATTTCCTACTGACACACTACAGCAAAAGATATAAAAAATAACTGGCTTAAAACCATTTTTTGTCTGTGAAAATACTAATAGCCTAAGACTTTTGCACAGTGCTATGCATGCTTCATTTGACATTACATGCATATAATTAAAATGAACAGAACTTTGTCAGAATTTTATGAATTTATGATGAGCTGTTATGTCTCAAAGTTTTTGTCTGATAACAAATGTATCTGATAATCCAGTCATACAAACTCACCTCTGCTGCTTTTCTGCTGGCCTGTTAACTGCAACGATGGAGAAGATGCAGTAGTTCTAGTTTCTAAATCTTTCTTGTTGTGGATGTGTTGAGCCAATGGTCCAGGATGTAACTTCTCATGTTCACTTACATTCTGAAAACTAATCAAGCTTCGGCATTACAATACTGCAACAATACAGTCTACAGAGAACTGGAGACTGTTTTTCCCAACAAACACCACATGTCTGCAGCTAAGGTTCACTCCCTTCAGAAAAATTCTTCACAGGAACACCCACAGATGTTTTCTAAATATATCGACACATGACAATGACAGTGAAATTTCAATTGTTTTGTCCTGCCTCTGCATGTGCAAAGAAAATGATTACAGTAGTTGCCAAGTAGACAGAAAATACTTTCCTGTATTTCTCCTAATAATGCTGAACATATTAATTTTGGCTAAATTACCATTTGTTAAAATTATTATTATTATAAAAATAAAAAAATTAGACAATGTGGGTGTAACAAATTGCATAAGAGCTAAAGTATTACCATAAACATGGTGAGACATGTTGAGATGACATTCAGCAAAAGATTAATAGCAGTGACACCAGATATTTTGGAGGTGTGTTTAAAATCATCTGAAACAATTAAATTGAGATGCAGTCAAGCAAACATGTTGGTAAAGATTTTTTAAAAATCTTAAATGCTTGATTATTTTGCTAGGAATTTCTTATTGTGCATGTGCAAGGCAACAACAGGTAGCTATTATATAACTGGGGTGTGCCAGACAAGAGATCAATGCTTGAATCAATGTTCAGTCCATTGGCATGTTGTTATAATTCTTTGATTGTAAAAGAATTTGTAACTGTGGTAAAACTACAACGGATACATCTTACTTAAAGCAAACTAATATTTGCGCAAGCTCTTCTAATTACGTAAGAACTTCAACCTGT